GTACTGTATGTGTGGAGCCCCTCTCTAGCACCAGAGTGAATATGGCATGGAAGGGCTCAATAGAGGACGTAACAGTCTGGGTGAACCCGTGAGGGCACGTGACTGGACGAGGTGGTAACGAGGGCCAAAGAGGAGGTGAGAGGGACACGTGATGTGGGCCCTGAGTCTCCGAGAAGGAGCTGGAAAGGGGCGTGGCCAAGGGCTGGGCCTGGCCACACCGGAGTGGATAAAGGCCGAGTCCCGAGAGTGATCACGGCGGTTCATCTCTGGGAAGAAATCCTCCGTCTTCGAGCCTGGGTTCTCGGTCTCGCGCACGTGGAACAGGCAGCGTGTTCGCTGTCCTGATCCGACTTAGTAATTATCCCGTCCAGTGTGTAGATAGTCAGCCGTGGTGGTCACCACCCTAAGTCATTATACTCTTAATGTTAATCTGTGGTTTTAGTTAATAAACGTGTTGCCTCCAAGATCAAGAGTAAGCCTCAATTGAACCCACTCCACATATGCAGGGAGACCGAGTAGGAGAGAGTTATAGTAGTCTAACCGAGGGAAGATGAGTGAGTGTATTAGTAGTTTGGCAGTGGATTGAGTGATGAGAGGGCATATTTTGTGAATGCTGACAAGGTGGAAACGACAGGTGCGGGTGATGGCGGAGATGTGAGAGGGGAGGGAAAGGGAGGAGTCAAAGAGGATACCAAGGTTGTGGGCATAGGGGAAAGGGGTGAGTGAGAAGGGTGTGAAGGTGATGGTGTGGGTGGGTGAAGGAAAAAGAGCAGCGGGGAAAAATATAACCTGGGTTTTAGAGGGGTTGATGGCAAGGAAGTGAAGCGACATCCAAGACTGAAGGGCAGTTAAGCAGGCTGAAAAGCGAGAAGAGAGGTCCGGAGTTAAAGTGGAGAAAGAGAAGAACGTTTGGATGTCGTTGGTGAAGAAGTGGTGGGAGAAGTTAAAGGAGGAGATAAGTGTTTCGAGAGGGGAGATGTAGAGAGAGAAGAGAAGGGAGCCCAGGATAGAACCTTGGGGAACACCTGCTGTGACGGGTGAAGTAGCGCTGCAGAAGTGATTGAAGGAGACCAAGGATGAGCATGAATGGCCAGGAGTAAGTAGGGAAGGATAGCGGGTAGAAGGGAAGTAGGGATCGGGTCAACGGGTGAGGTGGTGAGATGGACTTTGGAGATGGTAACGGAGAGGTCCGCTAGACTCACGGGGGGGATATTGGTGAAGGCAGACGGAGTCGGGTGTTGGTGCGCAGCTAAGGATGGAAGGGTCTGGATGGGATACGGGGAAGCTTAGAAAGAGGAGCGAATGGCATACGTTTTGGAGAGAAGAAAAGAGCAAAGTCAGTAGCAGAGATGCCAGTGGAAAGGGCGGGGAGGAGTTGGGGAGAAGTGTGCAGAGGTTATTAAGGGTAGAGAAGAGTAGGAGGGGATGAGAGGAAAGGGAGTAATGTGTTAATGTGTTGATGGTGGAGTGAAAGATGGCAGAGGCAGCATCTGGGTGGAGGGAGGAAAAAGAGGGCAAGGAAGGCAGAGAGATTGGGGATGCGGAGTCTCTAGTGAGCAGAGATCGTGGGAAAGAAAGTGGTGGGGTAGGATGGGGCTGGTAAGGGGTGGAATGGGTAAGGTGATGGTGAGAGAGAGGAGGAAGTAGTCCGATGGAGGGTGGGGGACGGATACAATGGGGGAAGCCTACCAATCTGATATAAAGATGAGGTCGAGGGTGCTGCCAGAGGTGTGAGTAGGGGGCGAGGGAAGGAGATAGAGATCGAAGGAGTTAGTGAGGGGAAGGAGGGTCGGGGCAATGTAGAGAAGACTAAGATCCAGACTTAAATCACCTTGAAGAATAAAAGGGTGTGGGAGAGGGAGGACAGTGGAAAGAAGACAGTCGAGGTGGTCAAGGATAGAGGGACTGGGGGGACAATAGATGATGAGGAAGGTGATAGAGTGGGGGGAGTAGAAGGAGGATAATTGGTGTTAAAATGAGGGAAGGACAGGATAGAGGGGAGTGTAGGCGCAGGGGTTCAGGATGGAGGATTGAGCAAGGATATGCCTCCAGCTTTGCCCACCCAACGAGGGGTGTGGGAAAGGAGGAGGCAGAGGATGAAAGGGCGGCAGGGGTGGTGGTGTTTAATGGGGCGATCCAGGTTTCTGTGATAGCGAGGGCGGTGAATTTAAGGGAGAGAAAAGCATCCAAGGTGGAGGCAGATTTATTGCACACGGAATGAGAGTTCCAGAGGCCTAATTTGAGGGAAAAATCAGCGGATGGCGGGGTCGGAGGGAGTGCAGGTGTATGTTGAACTTCTTTTGCACCGTATGTAGCCAACCGTGCTAATTGGAGGTGAGGGGGAAGGACAGTAAACTAAACACAAAAAGCATTTCCAAAGAAATTAGTTTTCAATTTAGATTTGAAAGCGCAAAGCTCCAGTGGCTTCCTAATATCGGCAGGAAGAGCATTCCAGAATGCCGCAGAAGTACATCTGAAAGCGTGCGATGCGGTGACCATATTTGTTTGATGGTTCACCAAAAGCTGCTGTGAGGATGGCCGGAATTTGCGTGATGGTGTATGTTCCTTTAAGAGACTAGAAAGGTATTATGGTTAATTTCTGGTTAACACTTTGTGTGTAATGAGCTGTTCCCCTGCACTTGACTCGTTGTTTCCTACAGGTTTAATGGCATTAGGATGCCAATTGATATTATTTTTCTGGACACATAGGCCTGATGCTGTAGGCCGAAACACCTCTGCGGTGTCCAGGATTGCTTACAAGTCTGAAATACATCATTTGAACCAGGCTGGGAGGCACAGTTTTAAGGACAATTAAAAAAGAAAAATTCCCCACTCCCATTTGTGCATTATTATTTAAGCAAACAAGTGGTAGTCAAACATTATAAACTTACGAAAATAAATATTTCAGCGTTGTCGTGCCTGTCTCGAGTTAGGCAATAATAGAAGATTTATGTTTTATTATTTTACGGTGGAAAAGCACATCGCGATTTACAGTCGCGTATCCATTAACCACAAATATTTCGCTCACGGCCGCCGGGTAGGGCGGGCGGTGCTGCTGCAGCTCAGCGATAATGCTCTCGCACGTCAACCATAAAACACTCCTGTATGCATCAGGCACTTGAAAATATAATGGCTTTTCCATAAAGGTATCGTCCGTTATTAAAGAATCATTATTGGGCCTTCCCTGTAAAAAAAAGTCCCTACATAAAACTAAAATAAACTTTCTTTTTTATTTACCCAGGTAAGGCTCACTGAGCTATATAACTATTTTTCAGAAGCGACCTGGCCACAAATAATAGCTCAATGAAGTGGCTTATCAAGTGGAAATTGATAGCAGCCAAACTCTAAATGCATGACCCTAAATTTGGAGGGTAAAACCAGAGGACCTGGAGAAAAATCCATGCGACCATGGGAAGAATATGCAAACTCCACATATATTATCTTAAAATAATGTATACAGTGCCTTAACAAATATACAGGCATCAAGGGTGCCTCGGTGGCGAGATAGTTAACTACGTTGAAATATTTATTTCGAGATAGTTAAATATTTATTTAGTTAACTATCTCGCCACCGAGGCACCCGACATAAGTGGGGCAGTGAGCCCATTATCCCCCCTTTCCCGCAACCCGTAAGCTCTGTGATCGGTCTTCTGCCCACATAAATTCTGTACCCCCCTTCCTTATTCTTGCTCGCGTTCTGTTCCGGGCTGTTGTCTAATAAAATTAACAAAATTATAAATGGATGGCAGTTTGGACCGTGTCGACGAAACATTGGCAACGTTTTCCTTACGCACTTAAAGTAGTTTTTTTATGTCAATGTCAACACTCGAGCAATCTTCAACGGCACGTAACAAAAGTGTTTCCAAATGATCGGAGGCGACACACTAGCGAGCCCCTGGCACTCTCTGGAATGTCGGTTCGATTCGTGCCGCCAACACTGTGGAGGTGGTGGTGGTGGGCCACTGGTATCAGAATTCTCATTCTCAGTACCTGGATCTCGATCATTTGCCACACCGACTTTGAGACATTTTGGCCGGCACTGTGAGCTTCTTGACTCAACGTTGGGGGTCTGTTCGCTGCCAAGCACAGCTGAATCAGCGGCTGTAACTGCCGACACTGCCGACGGTCCTGGGCTGTGGTCTATCTCCATATATATAAAAGGCAAAGTTGTGAATATGTGTGTCTGTTCAAAATGTTTAGCTTACAACCCGACATGCAACAAACTGCAAATTTGCCATGTGGGTACTTTCCAGACTGTACACCATGCAAAAATGAGAAAAATACACTTTTTTGGGGGGGAGATCAATAATGCATATGTTTTTTGCACGGCAAGTGAGCTGTGACGTAACATCTGTCACGTGACCCGCGCATGTGGAAGCGTAATGCATTGTAGTGTAGTGGTTAGCGCGCTGCGCTACGAACCCGGCGACCCGAGTTCGATTCCCGCTCACGGCCACCACCGGTGACGATTATTTGAACCGGTCCTGGGCCTCCCCTAGGTCGACTCAGCCTCAAACGAGTAACTGCTGTGGTGTGTGAACATTGCCACTGGGGAGACAAAGGCGGCCGGGTGTGGTGAATCCAAGTCCCGGGCGATGCCGGGTAGTACAGCTAGTTGGTTTATATGTAGCTCTATATTGGTCTCTATGTACCCGATGGATCTCATGCAACTCTGTGTAACTGCAGTGTCCTGTAACTAACCACTGCAGTCTTGGGCTGTGAACTATGGCTCTCTATGTAACTCTGTGGATCTATATGCAACCCTATGGATCTCTGTGTTACTCTATGGCTCTCTATGCAACTCTGTGTAACTGCAGTGGCCTGTAACTGCCACCACTGCTGACCGTCCTCGTTTGTAGTTGTCCTTGCAACAGAGCTACTGAGCTCATTGGGGCCTCATCAGCTGAAGTAATAAAGCCTGAGTGTGAGGTTTGAGGAGGCTTAGCCACCGTCAGCCAGAGCCACACACCATCCTCCCACCTGTGATTACCACCACTTACTTGCGAAGAGCATGGTGCCCTCCGCCGCCTCTGGGTCAGAGCGGAGGGTGGCCAGGCCATAGTCGGTGATCTTGAGGACAAAGCGACTGTCCACCACGCAGTTGGATGACTTGAGCGCGCCGTGCGAACCGATGACGCTGGCGTGGAGGTAGGCCATGCCCTGCCGGGATGGGAAGAAAGACACAACACACACCGTGCTTGGAGACACGACTTGTAGCGACGCTTGCAAGCGCGCTAGCTGCTACACCACTGCTCTCTCCAAAACTCGTCCATGGTTTTGTAACGTCCAGGCCAAAGAGCTTCCCAATGGCTCAGGAGACAGACAGCTGAGCTGGCACCACAGGGATCCTGATGATGAAACCAGGGTCATCTACAGCAGCGAGCGATTTGAAGTTTTTGGCCCAGTTGCCAGTGACTGGCTACACAAAATAATGTTACATTTGCATTTCCACTTAACTTTGGCTAAAGTCTAGCTGTGAGAATTTAAAGCATCACTGTCTTACTGTCACGCGATGAACATTTCTGCACCTCCGATGAGCACGGTTGGCTACGTATGGTGCAACAGAAGTTCAACATATGGTACATTTTCTTGGTTCTTTCGGTAAAGTCACGTAGAAGGGAAGTAATAAAATAATTAAAATAAAACATAATAAGATAATTCTTCTACGTGACTTTACTGAAAGAACCAAGAAGATGAATCCCTGCAGTCACGAAAGCTTTAAATCGAAATATGGTACATTCTTTCTGAGCCCAGCGACCTGAGACAGATTCCCAGCCATGGCCGGTCGTTAGCAACGAGTGAAATCTCAGGCAACCCTGGGCTGCCCCACTTCACCAAACCGACAATGACCAACATGGTGAAGTATGGCCAAACAACCCCCAACCACCGACACAGCATGGAAAGGCTGAAAATATTGGTTGATAAAGGGTTGAAATTATGAATATTAATTTATTACATCGTTTTACCTCCACCTCTCTAAAATAAATACAAATTCTGATTCTGTTAAATGTTTCGTCATTTAATTTTTACTGATCGATATCATCATTGTCAGCCATGATCAATACACTGCGGGATGAAGGCCTCCCCCAAGCCGGCCATGACCTCTCGTGATCTCATGATGCAACAAACCACCCAGGACCTGCCCGACATGAGAACCGATTGCAAGGCTCCATCTCCTCGGAGTATGTCCTCTCGTGGCTCGTTCTATCCCTGTCCCTTGGCTGCCCCTCCGCTATTATTCTTGACCGTCAGCCGTCGTCCCCTTCTAGCCCACAACACGCATCGCCCAAGCCCCACTCACTTTCCTTAACGGTCTGAATGATATTCTTGGTTCTTTCGGTAAAGTTGGATGCTGCTAATCTTGCATAATGCACGGGCATAAGTAGTACTAATCACATACCTGCATTTCCCATATCCCCTCCCTTGGATGCTGTTAACCTGCATAATGCACGGACATAAATAGTACTAATCACATACCTGCATTTCCCATAAATATGCTAAATTCCTCTTTATATGCAAATTATTTTGTCAAGGCGCCCTTTCCCACCCCCCCCCCTTCCAACCCAGCTTATATATATGCTCCAAGCACGTGTGCTGTTTCATTCAGACGCTGTCGCCTCGACAGACCTGGTTTCACCTGAGGACGGCTGCTGGCGTTGTGGCCGAAACGTCGTGAGAGTTGTTTTGTTATGTTTTATTTTTATTATTTTATTACTTCCCTTCTACGTGACTTTACCGAAAGAACCAAGAAGAAGAAAAAGTCACGTGACTTTGCCGAAGGAACCAAGAATATGAACCCCTGCAGTCACGAAAGCTTTAAATCGAAAAAGGTCTGAATGATGTCATTAACCTGCGCGTGTCCTCCAATCCACGCGTCCCTCTCCCTGGCTCCTTGTGTAAGGGGACACCACGGTTGTAAGATGTTAACTACCTCGCCTGGTATCCAGGAGGTCGTGGGCTCGATCCCAACCCTGATGCCTGCTGTATATTTGGAGTTTGTGTGTCTCTTTCTCATCATCATCACGGTTGTAAGATGTTAACGACCTCGCCTGGTATCCAGGAGGTCGTGGGCTCGATCCCAACCCTGATGCCTGCTGTATATTTGGAGTTTGTGTGTCTCTCTCCCCGTGGTCACATGGATTTTTTCCAGGTCCCCTCCGGATTTTCCCTCCACATTTAGAAACAACATGTCTTTAAAGTATTTGTCTACTATACATTTCCACACTATGAGCCACTTCGTTGAGCGATCATTTGTGGCCAGGTCGCTTCTGAAAAAGAGCTACCTTTATAGCTCATTGGGCCTTACTTGGTAGAATAAAAAATAGTTTGCTGGAGTTTAGGAATTCCACACGTATCTCTCCCAATCGATCCACTGCTGCGCCCGTCGCAGACAAAAGTCGGAAGCTGCCATTAAATTTAAATCCATTTTACTGAGGGCCGATGGACCTTAAGCACTCAATAATGTGCCCCTGACAGTGGTATTCACCTTGACGATGTCGTTGATGAGTGAGAAACGAAACATCCAATCCAGGTTTATGCTTTCGTTTTCCAAAATATCCTGAAAAAATAGTTGGTAAAAAAATACATAAAGGTTAAAATGCATTATGAGCTCACGAGTTAAAAAATATATATATATAAATAAAGAAAAACCAGGTACATGCTTTAATTTTCCTAAATATTTCTTTTTATAATTTACAAGAAGCTTAAAATGCATTCCGAATTGACAATGGAATTTTCTACTTGCATGTATATATAATGGGGATTCATGCACAATGCTTTATTAATTATGATCATATTTACTGCCAAATCCAAGCCAGTCTGCGTTAAGCCACCACCACCACCATGAGGAAGCAATTATATTGTTAAGAGCTCCCATCGTGGACAAATTATATACTGATGCAGGCTGTGCAATTTCATCCCATCATTATGCGACGATCCAGTGTACTGTTACGACTTACGCAATTACTTCCAAACCAGAAGCAGCCCATCATTTGAGACCTCCGGAAAAATGGAGCGTGTCACGTCGTGAACAAATGTGCCCGCCGTTCGAAGGATGCTAACACCGACGACGTAAGTCATTAACTATTTTAAATCGTGCCGGGCCATATGCTGCATGCAACGTCTCAATCGTGCCGGCTTTAGTTTGTTTTGTTCCTAAAAAAGCCAAAATAAAAATGTAAACATAAAGCAAAACAATCAGGTATGTCTAAGATTTTGTCAACAATGTAATCGCTCATGGCACCTGGAGAGAATACTTAGTGGCACTTATTTTATCATTCAATGCAGGTGGCCCATTTTAGTTTGTTTTCACTGCTTAAACGGGCGACGTAGCAATTGCGTTATTCAAGCAGCCAAAATAGAACATGAGTCACATTTTCTTAAGACCACACACTAACGGAGCTCTTTTTTTCAGAGCCCATGTTAATCAATAAAATGTATTACAGAGGAAAACAATTAAATACAAGTATCCATATATTTATATAGAGTACACACACAAGACAAATATTCCCTATGCAAACTCCACAGGACATGAGGGAAAGATGCAAGATGAGGTGGGGTGGCCAGGATGATGCCAGGCCACCTTTGTCTCCCCAGTGCTGAAGTTTACACACCACTATGTACTCATTTAATCGAACATGGATTGCTGTATATGCAGCGCAGTGCCGATCCCCGCACAAAATTTTCACGCAAAATTACACACACATTATAATAGACACATATAATGGAGCTACACGACATCGGACAAAAAACAAAGCAGTCAGCATTGCAGCAAATTAGACTCCAGAGTTTTACCCTGAAGCATGTAGCATCGAAAGCAGCCACTTGATTCATAGCTGTTTATATCGGAGGGAGGGAGCGAAGTGGAGGGAGAGGGTGAGGCCTCTTTCCGGCACGGATGCTCACAGCTTGACACGACTGACCTTCAGGCTGCCTCGGGGACAGTACTCGGTGACGATGCAGATGTTGGGTGGGTCGATGCAGGCTCCCACGAACCTGGTCAGGTGGTCGTTTTGCACGTCCCTCATCTGCACAGACAAGGGGCAGTTTCCACAAATTAAGCAACCTCCCAGGCCAAAATGTCAACAGCCGAACGATACGACGAATACTCAGCACGAAAATGTATTTTCGGTTATGTGTCATCACTGCATAATGATGCGTCGAACTAGAACCCATGACGTAAATCGAGGGTCCTTGCCTTTTAGATCGTCAATTCGCCAACATTGATTCAAACCAGCGTGACTCTGCTAATGATTGAAAACTACTTTTCGTGTTTAGTTTGTTGTCCTTCCCCCACACCTCCGATTATCACGGTTGGCTATGCACGGTGTGAAAGAAGTTCAACATATGGCGAAATCAGCCAAGAGTTGTGTTTATTTGAATGAACGCTGCTGACATTATTTGCCTCCCACAAGGCAATGTCGGCAAGTGCGTTGTGCCAGAAATAATTTTATTTTTTATGTAGAAAGCCGAATCTATGGAGGAGACATGGTCTGCTTATTTACGTTGCAATTTATATTCCCCACAACAGCGCTATTTATTAATTGTTGTTACTAATATTCATAGTGAGTTCTTGCTCAGATGAGCGGCCCTGAGCCAGTGATGGAAATTCTACATCTCTCTGGCGGAGACGAGTCTATCCATAGGACACCCTAAAAGTGGTGCATCTAGAAACTTTCCATTAAATACAGTCCTTACAATGATAACATAGCATTCAATCTACTCTCTCTGGTAAATATAAACTAAATACCAATTTTTGAAGTCTCAATGGTTCACTTCGATCTGTTTATTCAAATTCATGATGTGGGGCTGACTCGATGCGTTTCATCAGGCCACTCATCTGTACCTCCTGCGAGTTCTGTTTGTGCGATTTCGTGGACATATGGCTAACCTATATCTACCCAAAATTAGCGATGGTCTGTGCACTTTGAATTCACTCATACCCAGATATGTGGTTGGACGTGGGATAACATTTTGTGCATTGCATTACTTTCCCAAATTTTACTAAGTTTGTTTTACTAAGTTGGTTTTCTCTGTGTCTCTATGTTGTCTCTCTAGTATTTCCTGCAGTCACGAAAGCTCCAAATCTCTCATTGACATGCTCATTTCTTTACCCCCCCCCCCCCTCTCTCTGTGCCTCCCTCTCTGTCTATTTAAGACCTCGACACAGAGGCGTTGTTTCTCTGTGTGCCTATTTGTGTGTCTCTCTCTGTGTGGCTCTGTGTTATCTCTCTCTGCTTGTGTGTCTGTCTGTGTGTCTCCGTGTCTGTGTTTTGTCTCGCTCTCAAATTTAGCACTCTTTGGAAGAACGTATTCAACCAGGTAGGGTGTTGACTGTTATGTTAGCCGACTATCTGTGTTGTGTTGCATTATATTTCTAAGTTTACTAGTTTTTTTCCTCATTCATTCGTACCTGATGATGATTGCTTGTGTTGCAATCGAAACGTTGTATTCTATTATTTAATGTATTTTCTTTCTTCGTGACTTCACGAGAGCTCCGAATGAACATTGTGTGTTGTATTGTGTCCTTGAGGACGGCTGTTTGCATTGTGGCCGAAACGTCGTGAGAATAATTGTATTATGTTTATTTTTATTATTTTATTATTTCCCTTTTACGTGACTTTACCGAAAGAACCAAGAATATATAATTTAGTTAAATAAATAATTATTCCTGGCCACTTGCCAAGTGTGTAAGCACGGTTTGTGCCAGACGTTAACTCCCCAGGACGTTTCCCAATGGCGTGTGAACGTCGGCTTGCTCTGAAATCCCTGGGCCCTCTGCCTGCAACACGTTGCTTCTTTCTGCTCCTTCACTGGCACCGCTCAACTTTGGGATTCCCACCCTTCGTCCCTTCCCCCCCCCCCCCCCCACGTTCTTACTATGCAAGTGCGTGTGTTCTTTCACACCGTCCGTAGTCAACTGCACTAACCGGAGATGCGAGTGAAGGACAACAAATTAAACACTAAAAACAACACCAGTGATGATTATCTGAACCGGTCCTGGGCCTCCTCTATGTCCACTCTGCCGCAAATGAGTACCTAGTGTGGTGTGTAAACATCGCCACTGGGGAGACAAAGGCGATCTGGCGTGGTGCTAGCCACCCACCCCCTCGTGTACATTACCGGCCTTCATAGGTGCTCACTAACAGCACTTGCCCCTACAGTCTGTTAAGGCTATACGGGAGATCTTTGTCTTTGTTGGGAGCGCCAGGTGGCTAAACACAGCAAGTTGGCACAGTAGGTGGCACAGGTGGTGCATCTGCCGGTCATCTCAGTCAGTCCACCCATGGCACCTGGATCTGTCCTGTGACCTCCTGTCAGTGGGCATTCGACACTTCACATGGCCTTAAAGTGCACATAGCCTGGCACAAGCGCCGTGGTGACGTCACAGACATTTAGTGGCGAATGGTAGTTGTTGTTGTGCTGGGAATGGTGCAGGTTGCCCCACAGTATGTTAAGGCTATACGGGGTATCTTTGTCTTTGTGTTGGACATGGCGCAACGGTTAGCACGCTGCTTCGAACCCGGCGACCCGAGTGTGGACACAAAGACGGCCGTGAGTGGTGCTGGCCACCCACCTACTCATGTGCTGCCATGCTGGCCTTCATAGGTGCTACTCGCAAACAGCACTTGCCTCAAGAGTCTACTGTGGCTATACGGGGGGGGGGGGGGGTAGCTTTGAGCTGTGTGTGCGCACGCCATTCCGTCGTCTGTTACTTACGTGCTTCATCTCAAACAGGACCTGGCGGGTTAGCTCGATGCGTTTCTTTGGCACCCGCTTAATTGCCACAATATTGCCCTGTAAGCAATTCATACACACAGACATAGTCATTTTAAACTTCATAAAATATATGTAACCGTGTGTGTGTATGTCTGTGTACGCCATATATTATAATAGTAATCATTTATTTCCCTTTGTCAATTACACTACGCCGCTATTCGGGACAACATTACTCAACCCTAGTGGCCCTGTGCTGTGTCAGGAGGCACGTGAGGCAGAGTCACGGCTCACCTGGCCTTCGGGGATGGCTGGGGGGGTGCTGCACCACCATGTGTCCATTGAGCCCCCCACCCAAGTTGACTTCCCGTAGTGGTGAATCACTGTTGCGGTGCCCCCCCCCACCCCCCCCCACATGACAGGTCCACTGGCCCCCTCCCCATCCGAGAGGAGCAGGAGCCGGGCTGAGTTGTTCCCACTTTCGTTTATTCTGGGCAAGGTGCTTCATGTCGATATTAACCCTATCCTGTTCCGAGACAACTGCAAGTTTCGTCCACTGCTGAACACACCAGCAGTTGCCGTTAATTGTATGTAGAGAGGCGTGGCGCAGCTGTTCTTAAAGACTTTCTACTGTACCCACCGCAGAGAACTGTCGCGACACGACTGCACTCTACCATAGCTGGCTCCAAACTGTGCCACATGCCTCCCACGTGGCCTTGTGGGAGCCTCGGTACTGATAAAGGTATTTTATTTTAATTTAATTCTAGTTCCGTTCTGATGACGTACATGTACGTACTCATACGGCATTGGTGTCTGATGCTAGGGAAAAAAAGTGCCCCTTTAGGTCATCCCCCTCCAACATGAACCGCTTGGCCACCCGGTTTTCAGTAGAAAGCCTTAACACGTCAGTTTCCAGGTGGTGGAGGGTCTTACGATACACACTTTTAGCCAGATCATTGGCCGTGCGGTGGTAATAGCGCAAATAGATCCATCTTGACATCTGTGCCTAGTGGATGTTGGATGTTTCCCTTCAACTTGATATTCAAGTTTCCATTTTACTTTCGTTTAGCCATGTGGGAACTCGAGAGCAGGATGGTCTCATTTGCAAGAGTGATCCAGGTGACCAAAGGTACAAAAAAATAACGAACCAAATAGATTCAGAGAAAAAACAACATTGCACAATAAATCAAAACCTTTGCGCTAGTATATATGACAATATTATATGAAATACATTTTCTGAAATAATATTGGCTTGGACAAATAACCTTTAAAAACCATTCATAGTAAAATTAAGTAACTGAAACATCAACATGGATGTGAATGTAAAAATCACTAGTATGGAAACAGACAAGGATATACATTAAACATTTAGTTAATCTGTTGATAAACATTTGACCGTTGGATCTTTATACAGTAAAGTAATACCCCGTGTTGCGCTGGTAATTTATTTCTGAAAGGTTAGATGCCGAATATCGAAACGACGTAAATCAAAGCGATTTACAGGTGGAAGTGCTTGCACAAAGGATAGTAACATCTCATCCTGTGTTCTTGGAATCTAGGTGGAGGTGAAGGTGGAGGTGAAGGTGGAGGTGAAGGTGGAGTTGAAGGTGGAGGTGGAGGTGGAGGTGAAGGTGGAGGTGGAGGTGAAGGTGGAGGTGAAGGTGGAGGTGAAGGTGGAGGTGAAGGTGGAGGTGAAGGTGGAGGTGAAGGTGGAGGTGAAGGTGGAGGTGAAGGTGGAGGTGAAGGTGGAGGTGAAGGTGGAGGTGAAGGTGGAGGTGAAGGTGGAGGTGGAGGCCGAAAGGCGACGGATACGAGAAAGGACGGGCGATGCTGTCAGCCACGAGACTGTGGGTTGAGGCAATGCTCATCAGGTAGTGGTGTTTATAAAGTGACGACCCATTTGTGAAACGACATAAGAGGGGGAGATGTAAATCAAATGTCTTACTTTATTATAATGACACAGGCTGTTCGTGAAGCTATACATTTTTTTTGCTTGACAAAAATATTTTATTTCGATGTTTAACCATGATTTCTCAATTGGGAAACAGGCAGCAATCATCGTCCCCTCCTGCGAAAACCTCGCGGCACCCTCCTGAAAACATTGATTCTTGAGATCACACAGTGGCCACGGAACGTAGTTTAAGGTATTTACTGACGGAATTAGACTTCCAGCTGTTGTTCAGCTATTGAAACGCTACTCTGACCTCTGACCTTTTCTACTCTGGCCTTCATATCAGAGGTGACATCTCTGTTGTAGAAAATTATACTTCAAGGACAAGAGGCTGTTTCCGGTCTACTCTGCAGCTGTTCCCGATCCAACAAAATGCTTTACTTGGAGACTCGTGTTTTACAGTCATAATTTAGTTATCTATTTAGTTATATATTCACATCAACAGCACAATCCATTTTAACAAAAAATCTAAACTATTTTTATTTTACTAGGTAAGGCCCACTGAGCTATATGGCTCAATTTCACAAACAATAGCTCAACTCCAAATATACAGCACGTATCAGGGTCGAGATCGAACCCATGACCTCCTGTATACCAGGTGAGGGAGTTAACATCTCGCTACCGCAGCACCAAACGTAAAAGTTAATCATTTGACCGGCACCTTGTAATATGCTGTCTGTACAAAGAATTGTTTCTTTCCCTGCAGGGTCATGAAGGAGTTGTAGCTGGAGCCATGCTGGGAGAGGAGAGAGAGAGAGGGAGACAAACCATAAGCACGAGGTCACATCGTACACGTCAGTACATCGGGGCAATAACCGACGACAAGAGCCAAGTTATGTAAAACGACAAAGCACTATCTGGCACGCGACGACTTTTTGCCACAACGGAGAGACATGCAGCCAGGAAAGCGGGGCCTCAGCGTGAGTGAACTACATAAATAGTGGACATTAGCAAAAAAGTGCTGTGTAGCTCAACGGATTCCTCTGGTCTAAATAAAAAATTCTGATTCTGACATCTGAGCTCATTTGTCAGTGAGAATATTTATTTATATTGGAGGAATCCAATGCGCTATGAAGCTCTTTTGCAAAGATGTCCAGTATGTATGTACGTTGAACTTATTTTGTGCCATACGTAGCCAACCGTGCTAATCAGAGGTGTGGGGGAAGGACAACAAAAAATCGCTTCAAGTTATTTCGGAAGTAGTTCTGTGACATCTGCTTTCACGGGTCATTCACCAACGCGGGGGGAGGGGGGGTGATGCACGCTTTGTCTTGAGTCGTGACGCAGAGAGCCCTTCAGAATGAGAGTGTGCAGGGCAGGAGAAGAGCCTCGGTGCGCGTTGCTCAAGGCTCTCACTATCTGCGAGCCGACAGTGGTGCTGTCAGCAAGGCAACAATGCACAGATCAGAATCTAAATCTTGATTTAGACTGGAGCAGGAATTTGATGAGCTATTAAGCTCTTTTTCACAGATGTCCAGTTGGGACAGGTCAAAACATAACAACAAACAATAAAAAACACGATCAGAGTGCAAAGTATAGGAAAGGTAAGCAAATCAAATTTACAAAATATATACAATTAAAACGAAACTATTTTTTTTATCTTATCAGGTAAAGCCCACTAAGTTATTAGATTTTTTTTTCAGAAGCGACAAATGAAAGCTCAACGAAGTGGCTTATCATGTACGAAGTGGCTTATCATGTGTGTAAATATCACCATGAGGGCGGGTGAACAAGTTACAACAGCAATCAATACAAACAACAACACATCACAAATGAAAGCTCAACGAAGTGGCTTATCATGTACGAAGTGGCTTATCATGTGTGTAAATATCACCATGAGGGCGGGTGAACAAGTCACAACAGCAATCAATACAAACGACAACACATCACACGGCCCGGAGAGGCATTCGTTTGTGATGGGTGACGTGTTGGACTTGTTCTGCGTAGCAGGGAGAGATCGCTCAGCCCCTGGCTACCGAAAGTGTTAAGGAGCCCTCCCATTATGGATGGACAGGGCTGATGTGTAGACACTTTCAACACTTTGTTGGAAAATTGTCATTAAAATATTTGGAAAAAGGACGATAATAATCGTTAATCTTTGCATTTATATGGCATTGCTTAAAATGCCTCAGCAAACTCAAAAGCACATCTCATCTCAAACGTTCTAAGGGCACCCCTAGTGGCAGCTGCCCCTGTGCGGCACATGGTGACTTGGCGGCTGGCCTGCGAGCGGGCGTGAGTCGGCTATTGGAGGGTGATGATTGCAGCTATCACCCACGAGTCATTTTTGTGAATTTGTGCAACATTTTGGACCGCACACAATGGCCTCCTACCCGCTTCAAACAACGTCATGGAATCTTTAACGTTCCATTGAGAGCGAAGCTGATGGCCCGTAGTTTCCCCGCTTCATACACACGACCGCAGTATTAACCAGGGCAGCCTGCCGAATCGGACCTGCAAACCTCTGCAGAAAGCGGCGAACGCGCTAAGGTCGGGCCGTGTCACCACCCCCCGCCGATGGCGGTGACGGTTGCGGCGGTGATGGTGGCAGTGACAGTGGTGCTCACCATGGAGAGCGTGAGTCGACTGCCGGCCGTGCGCCTGCTCTTCTCGAGCTTGCTGAAGTGGATGTCCTCCCACTGAAGCCGCCACAGCATGCTCGCCAGCTCCTTCTCCACCTTCAGCTTCCTGGCAAAGCGACGTCGCAAAGCACAATTGACATTCAACTCCTGCAGAGGCTCTCGAAAACGAATTGAGTCTCGACAGATGCTTCGCTTCCAACTGAATCTAAAATGACGGGCGGTTTCCCGCTGTTTACGACGTGGCAATGCGTTCCCGGAAACTTGGTAGATGTAAATCGGACCCCATTTTCCCATTGACGAAGAAACAGTAGAGACATCACTTGCCGATGTTTTCCCATTTATCGACCATATTTAACAAGGCTCAATAGAAGAATTCCCTCATCAAAACTCGACACCATAGAGCTCGTTGTATTTCCGACCATCACCACCTAGCCAGTGAACTGGAGCACGTACACCAAGCCCTCAAGATGAATGGATACTTGAACTACAAAATCGGTAAAGCTATCACCCCAACCGTTGGGAAGGAACCATCTGAGGACCAAATCTAAACCATCACCTTGCGATAAATAGCAGGAGTTACCAAAAATATTTCCAAAATCATGAGCAAACACAAGATCCAGGTTCGATTTAACACAGTACGTAAAATTCGTGATCTGATCCCATCTGTGAAGGATGTGATCCCTGACATGCAATACCCCGGTGTCTACAAACTCAGCTGTGTCTGCGGCAGTAGTTACATTGGGGAAACTAAGCGACGTGTCTCGGACCTTGTTCGTGAACATAAGGTAGATCTGAAACACGGCAGGACCAATACCTCGACCGTGGCTGATCATTGTTTTAACACTGTGGGCACACACAAAATAGATTTTTCCAAGACGAAGGTACTATGCAAACCCACTGACTATCATCAAAGATTTGTTCATGAAGCCATCCAGATATATAAACACAGACACAATTTCAACCGAGAAGATGGGTACAAACTGAGCAATCATTGGAAGGATGTTATTAATCAGTTTAAGTCATAACTGGCTGTGATGTTTCCATCCTTCCTGCTGATGTTAGCAATTATTTCCGACTCTCTGAGTTACATTACCAGGTTAAATGTCTTTACATTAACAGGCTAAATGTCTCATTAACACAGCCACCGTTGCGGTGGTTTTCTTACGTTGACATGCTAATCTTACATGAACAGATTGACATGCTAATCTCTCACAATACAATGGCCACCTTCACAGGTTCGTAGTCGTGGAGGTATATCCGCTCTCCGATCTTACATTTACATTTAAATTCCATCTCTAGCCACACCCACGTACCCTTGGGCTACACCCATCTCAAACCTATATAACATCCTGCCTTAGCAGCGCTCCCGCTATATTTTTTCACCTGATGACGATTGCTTGTGTTGCGATCGAAACGTCGTGATATTTTAATGTTTTTTATTATTATTTTTCTATCTACGTGGCATTACCAAAAGACCCAAAGAATATGAAATCCTGCAGTCACGAAAGCTTTAAGTCAAGATTTAAGGCTCAATAGGTATAAATCATCTAAAAACACTCTAGAATAACAAAGCTCCATGCCAAGTCATGTCAGAAACCAGACCGACTGTTCAAATGCATTCGGAGTCATGTTGAAAGGTGCGTCGTAAATCAAGTTTCTGCGTTGATAATCGACCCATGGTGGCAATTATATAAATGTCGTAAATGTGGATTGTCGTAAGTCAAACTGTTCTAAACCAGAGACCGCCTGTAGTTGCTTATAAGGAGTCAAACAAATGTAAGAAGAAGAAGATGATGATTCAGAAAATTATATATTTTGATAATAAATTAAAATGACCAAGCTCAACCCTGCTCGGCTTGCCAGGATGCTATAATATCGGCAGCACTCACCGGTAAATCAGGAAGAATGTCGCAAGCACCACCAGCACCAGGAGGCTCACCACAATCAGCAGCTGCTGCACCATGGTTATGACTGCAAGGGAGGGAGATGGGCCACCTCAATAAAACGCAGCACAAACACAAGACTCCAATGGCTCAATCCCCACCAAGCGAGGGCATTCTTCTCATTGTTGACGTACTACGGGAGGGCACAAAACTAGCGGCACAATAGGATTAATTTGTGTCAGCGCAGTAAGATTCGTAAACGAACCCTACACTTCGGTCCTTGGGAGAATGTTAAAGTTTTGTGACTCCACTTCTGAGCGAAGGCCTCCCCCGCGAGCCACGTCAGTCACTGGGGGGCTGTGTGACTTTACTTCTCCATGCTGGTCATTACAGGTTAGTGAAAGTGGTGTGTGTGGGGGGGGGGGGCAAGTCCATCTCTTCAGGAACGCTGTCGACGGAGAGCTGAGTTACAAAAAAAAGAAACTAAAAATGTTGACCAGGTGAGGCCCACTGAGCTTCATAACTATTTTTCAGAAGTGACCTGGCCACTTTTGATAGCCCAACGAAGTGGCTCATTATGTTGAAATTTGATTGCAGCCAAATACTCTGAAACACATGTTTCTAAATGTGGAGGGAAAAACCGGAGGACCTGGAGAAAAATCCAAGCGACCACGGGGAGAACATGCAAACTACAAATATACAGACGTCAGGGTCGGGATCGAACGCACGACCTCCTGTATACCAAGCGAGGTAGTTAACATCTCACCAACGTGGCGCCCAATCTGATGGCTGGCATAGTCAGGGCTACCACCCTTCCGACTGTAGACCAAACCTGGACGTCATATTTCTCAGTCGACACTAGGCTGATGAAAACTGTCCAGTGTCCTGTCATGAAGTTCGACACAAAAACGGTCCAGGATCTCAGTGCAAATCAATTATTGCCACCTAGACACAGACGCCAATTCCCAAACTGTCGAGATTACAACGGGCATCTAACAAACAGGTCACACTTTTTGGATAAAAACGTGAAAAACACAATGTCTGCTCATAGGCCATCATCTAGAGGACTACCATGCAGTTCTCCAGGAAGTACTGATGGTTTTCTGCTTAATGCACAAAGGCCGAGTGATTCGTGTGCACATTTCTTCCGTGCTGTTTGATTATAATCAGAGTCAAAATATTGACACTGGAGGAATCCGATGAGCTATAAAGCTCTTTTTGTCCAGTAGGGACAGGTCAGAACCTTACAACAATACAAAAACACGATAGGAGTTAAAAGTATAGGAAAGGTAAAACAATTACTTTCAAATATACAAATAAAACTAAACAATTTTTGTTATCTTACAAAGGAAAGCCACTGAGCAAATGGCTTATTTTTCAGACACGACCTGGCCACAAACGATAGCTCAACGAAGTGGCTTGTCATGTGGAAATTTATAGCAGCAAAATAATCGTGACGGTTTAGTGGCCTGCACCATTACTCCATTACAACGGGGTATGGAGAGGGCGGGGATTATTCTTCATTGTCTACTTATCTGACTTGAGCCCTTCGCAGTACAGAGTCTGGGAGAAAGGTGCCACCTTTGTTGTCGGGCAGCAAGTCGGAGGGGACGTAGCCCCCGGGCCAATGGATGAGGACGCCAGGCATGGGCACCATCTCCTGCCTGCTGCCATCGTAGTTGTAGACGATCTGCCCGTGATCGAGACAGCAGCAGCAGCAGGGAGCAGCAGGCATCAGCAGCAGCAATGAGACACAATAGCCAAACAACCCAAAGAGAGCTCCTGCTCAAAGGAGCACTGAGGCAATAATGGTGCTAATTTCCCGTTCACAGCCCCTGAGCTGGTGATGTGATGGAAATTCCACGGTGCTATGGCAAGGGTGAGTCGTCCAAAGAACAGCCGCTGTTGACTCCCCCCCCCCCCCCCCAAGTTAGAAGTTTATTTCCACAGCAAAGCCCGTTGAACTGAACAAAGCTCTTTCAAGTGCCACTTGGTCAGCAGACAATCGCGGGCGGTGGGATTAATTGTATCGACCATAGAGAGAGTGGATGAGGAGCTGAATCAACTTTCCGACCAGGAGTTTAACTCACAACGGTTCGACCGCGAGCTGTCCACTCTGCCACTGAGCCACCCGCTTAGATGGTCACGAGAAGTGGGGTTTTTTGAGGAGGGGATCACGTCCAAGTGGATGTTCGCCGTGGAGATGGAGCGATAAAATAAACTCGCTTGCAGGAGCTACATATGGATTGTTCGATTGCGGTACCTTAAGGTACTGCAGTGACGGGATGGTCAGGTCTTCATCTAGCAGTGGATTGATCATGACTGATGACGATGGGGTCTTTTTTACTTGACCTCTTTTGCTTGGTTGATGTTTTTTACTGGTTATTTGTGTGCATGTGAATGTATTGAACCCAGTCAACCGAGTTCGATTCCCGCTCATGGCCACCAACACCAGTGACGATTATCTGAACCGGTCCTGGTCCTCCCCAAAGTCGACTCAGCTTCCACTAAGTACCTGGAGCAATGTGTAGTAATCATCGTCATGAGGGAGACGAAGGCGGCTGGGCGTGGTTCTGGCAACTGACCCCCTCCTGTGCTATGGCGGCCTTCGTAGGTGCTACCCGCAAACAGCACTTGCCCCAAAAGTTTGTGAAAGGCTACATGGGGGGTCTTTGTCTTTGTATCATCCGTTAAATTCTAAATGTCCTGCACATTCCGTTAGAAGGCATCCGATCTGAGCACTGATCTGCGATGTTGTGAAAGATAAGAGAGGGGGGATAGATCTTGTGGGATGCAGAATGAAGCTAGAATCAGGGAATTGCCCTTGGATTGAGAACGATGTGCTTCTAAGAAACTCCAACTGTTTCACATTACGAACAGAGGCAGCTTGTAAATATTGCGCTTATACAGACATTGTTAAATGTAATACAAATTCACGGCCAAGTAAGGGCACCAAGATGAAAAACACCTTGTTTTGATATCAATCTCCTGCCATATTTGTTTTTTATTTGAAGATGTTTTCAAAAAATTAACAATGAGCATTTATTATACACATGGGAGTAAACCGGACCACCAGGAGAAACCCCACTCGTGCGAGAGAGCAACGCTCCATCCCTGTACAGATGGAAACAGATGGCGATTAGTTCACTTTGCTGTATTGCCTTCTCTTGGCGAGCCAGGATATGGCTCCTCCTTGATGCCAGCAGGAAGAGAGTTTCACGACAATCTGTGTGTGATCCACCAAACCCGGCCTCCACAGGCGTGGACCACCACATTATTTATCGTGCACAAACTACGATGGGGTTCAAAGGCGAAGAAGGAGGAGATGGCGATGAAATTCTGGCAAACAAAACAACGAGCAAATATTTACCAGAGCAGTAAGTTCATAATTCTTCTTCATTTGTGATTATTTAAACCATTGAGGAATTGGTGAAAAAAACAGACTCATTCCTGCTGCAGTGAAAAAAGCGAGTGCATTTCCGGTAAGTGCCGCCTAATGCATTTCTAAATGGCACGACGCATGCCGTTTCCGAGATCCCTGCGGTCTGCCCCATGAGGCATTCACATTTCTCGTAGCTTCGACTCCCGCGCGTGGCGACGTTCGTGGCTTTCGCGTTCTGCGTGTGCGGTAGAGTGTCCCCCATGTCGTCCGGCATAGCGGTCGACGGACCTGGCAGACCAGGATTCGTAATGGCGCGATTCCCACTTACGGCCACCAATATCAGTGACAGTTATCAGACCCTACCCTAAGTCGATTCAGTCTCAAATTAGTTATTGGTGCAATGTTGTAAACATCGACACCGGGGAGGCAAAGGCATGGTGCTGACCACCCACTCATTCGTGTGCTGTGTCGGCCTTCACAGGTTCTACTTGCTAACAGCACTTTGCCCAACAGTCTGTTAAGGCGATGCGGGCAGTATGTCTTTGGACATAGAATGGTGACAGCGCTCGGTGTGTGAGCAGTGTTCAAAATGAGGTGACGCCTGTCGTCTTACGAGCTGATCAGGCGAAATTAAAAGTTTTAAACGGACGCAGTACATTATCCGTGAATCATACACGCGAGTTTACATTTGTGCGCTCCAAGCTCTCACTGTTATGTATGTTTAATTGTTGAAAAGTCTTAATCGATTTATTTATTTGGTGATACCGTTCCTGATTCTGCGTTGGCAGCCGTGTGCGAGCACAATTAACAAACTCAACGTGTTCGTTGATAGCACTGCGTGGCCTTAAAACGAAAAAAAAACTATAACAGGCGACATTTAGGCAATTTCCCTTCATAGTGCATGCGTACAGGGAGCAGAAAGAGACTGGACAATGTGAGCTGCAGACTGCACTTTACACTATGGAGGCCTGTTGAGAATTAGATTTACAAATTTAAGTATTTAATGTTATTTATATTCTTCACAATGACACTAATTATTATTGAGTTGTGTATTGTAAAATATTTTTTGCATTGAACCGAGACCCCACATCATAAGGGGAGGAGGGGTCCTTGACTATAAGACAGGCAATTCGCCACCATTGATTAGAGCGAGCCTCATTCTGCTGATGAGACACTGAAGGTCGAAACTGGGCCAGAGCTTGCTTGCGTTAAATCGATGCTACCGAAATGACACGACTCCCACGGAAGGCCGTGCGGATGGCTGCTTTTGCGTGAGAGACAGAGAGTGAAGGGGAGTTTATCGTCCGATGATTTACAGCGGCAGCCTGGCTCGGTGCATGTGAAGCCAGCCAGGCTCTGCCGTGCAGAGAAGAGGCACCCAGGGAGACACCAGGGCATTTACATTCTTTGATGACCAATTTTTCTGAGCATTGCACGTAGACAAAATTTTTAAAGTAAACACAGAGACAACTGGGATATAATGCCATGCATTGCCAATTGGCGTGGCCCCAAACGTATGGCGAGGATACGAGCCTGGCAAATGTATGCATCTATGTTGAACTTCTTTCGCACCATACTTAGCAAACCGTGCTAATTAGAGGTGCGGGGGAGAACAACATACTAAAGACAAAAGCAGTTCGAAACATGATTATATGTACGTATGTATGTTTAATTTCTATGTTGAACTGACAAGGACTGGAAATCTGTTTTTTCTCATGTACTTTACTTGACATACTCTTTATCCCCACGCCTGCCCCCAACCCCCACCCCCCACTCTCATAACACTCATTCTTTCTTTGATCCGACTCTGGCCTAAATAAACACGTAGCATCACCCTGAAAATGAAACCTCTACTCGGCCAATATTTATTAACGAAATATCGGTAGTTGTTTTTGTTAACGTGAAGAATTTTCATTTGTACATTTTACAAATGTTTTGTTTAACAAGTGCCCGTACATTTGCCATGAATGCACAAATGAATGTAACAAAAGGAGCATTTCATATTTGTTTAACAAGGAAAGCCGAACTGAGTCTCAAGACACATTTTCAGGAGGCGCACTGGCAAATTTTCTCAGTTGGAAGGGGCAATTCATTATGTCAGCATGTGCGTGGCTGTATGTAGTTCCCATAGAGGTCCCCTGAATTCAGTGGACAATTATTAATAACACGCGGCACTGTTTGTACAGAGCCACAGCTGCAGTGCGGATTGTCATGAAGACTACAATGGTGGAGGCTGGCTGCAATTAGACCTTGCCCTGTGTCCAGCAAGGCCCACTGCCGCCGTGGCAGGGGTGAAGCCAGGTGGACAAACTGCAGGATCTGGGGGTGCGATGATTGCTATGTGTAATCCCAATTGCGTTATCTTTCGGCACATTTGGACCGCGGTGCCAGCACACAATGGCCTGCTTTTACGAATGACGTCGCAGGACATTCGCCGTCCACCATGGTGAGTGAAGCAGATGGTGCGTGGTTATTATTTTTAAGGTCAATGCAAACACTGCCGCAGCGATAACCGGGGCTTCCACTGGAGTCGAACCGCAAACCTCTGCAACATAAACAAGTGGCTAACGTCCCACCGCTGGGCCACGTCGCCGTTGTAAACGATGAACTTTCTTTTATTTTACCAGGTAAGGCTCACCGAGCTATATAGCTCTCTTTCAGAAATGACCTGGCCACAAATGATAGCTCAACGAAGTGGCTTATCATTTGGAACTGTATAGCAGCCAAATACTCTAAACAAATTTTGATTCTAAATGTGTAGGGAAAAACCGGAGGATCCTGAGAAAAATCCACACGACCACGGGAAAACATTCAAACTCCAAATATACAGGCGCCAGGGTCAGGATCGAACCCACGGCCTCCTTTATACCAGGTGAGGTAGATAACATCTCGCCACTGAGAGAGATCTGATGAGATCGGGCGCATTCAAGGCGATTTGGTCACGGTCCATTTGTATGTATGTTGAACTTATTTTGCGCCGTACATAGCCAACTGTGCTAAACAGAGGTGCAGGGGAAGGACAACAAACTAAACGCAAAACTCAGTTTGAAAAAATAAATACATTTACATTTAAAAGTGCATAGCTCCAGCGGCTTTCTAATATCAGAAGGAATAGCGTTCCAGATGGCTGCAGAAGGGCATCTGAAAGTGCCGATGCAGTGACCGTCTTACAGTATTTAAGCATTTCATTGTGATAATTGAACATACATGTTTCGATGAAAGTATTTAGATATAGGATATTTTGTACATTGTCATACTTGTACTGAGTTTTATCAATCCCTTGCTAGATGAAGGCCTCCCCACACCGTGTCAATCATTGGGGTTGTTAGAGCATATTTTACCGTGCTGGTCTAGTGCGGGTAGGTGAAAGCGTGGAGGCCAAAAGTTGTGGCCAAGAATCAAACTCGGGTTTCTAGGTTTGTAGTGCAACACTCTGACCACCGCATCGTCGCCCCATGAAAATGAAGTGTTGTAAACAAAACTATATGAAACGACGTGTAATGAGCTCACTGGTGTCTGTTTTATAAAATACCAGCGACACACATGCTCTAGTTTTCTGTGTGCCAAATGTGTATATGGGTCCAGTCTCTCACTGACTGAACCCAAATGAAAAACATATTTGGTTATGCTGCTGCATTGGCAGTGGTGGACAAGCATAATTAACAAAAGGAAATTCATCACATTCGTCAATCACAACATTGTGCGACCTTAAAAGGAAGAATATATAATATGCAACGTTTCGGGCTGTGGTCCTTCATCATAGCATATGATTAATGGCCCTTCAGCGTGACCCTTCTACACAGCACTTGATTCATGTGCTATAAAGAAGGGCAATTTCCCTAAACGTCACCTATTATATATTGTTTCCTTATAAGGCCACACAATGTCATCAAGTGAAGCAGCAAGACAACCCCAAGTTAATTGAACCGTTTGAAAAAAAAAATCTTAAAGCAAAAGGGGTCTCCGACTCGAGCGAGATTTCAGGCATCGTTGCTCATCTTCCTTCGACACCCTTGAGCCAGTGTTGAGAATGTCACGTTTCTATGGCAAGTGGGGGGGGGGGGTGCATGAGTCTGTCCTTAGATCTGTATAGAATATTTGATTTTAAAGTGGCCTCTCTTACCTTGAACTGGCCCGCCTCTGGGTCCGTCATGTCCCAGATGGAGAAATCAACTTCCCTGTCTCCATTGGCATCGATTGTGACTCTTCCTATGACACCTGAGCACGGGTACACCACGTACAAAGTACACCACTCGCTGCGCTTAGTACCACTGCAGGCGCAACGCACACAGGGCACACGCCGTTCAGCTGATCGTACTGACTAAAAGATACGGGCAAAGGTGCGACCCTGCAATTGCCATAGTCGAACTAAAGCAGTTTAACACGTAGGCTTTTGCAGCCAATATCATCCATAATATAGGTTTTTTTCGGTTGGATCGCATAAATATAAATGTGTCGTTAAACCTGCCACCACCCGACACAGCCAATTCAGCCAATTTAGTAAGGTTTTTCACGTAAACAGAATGTGCCAATTCATTACTAGTACAGCACACCGGTGTGTTGGAGAGCAAATCCACAACATTTACAATCCGAGTACGACGTTTCATCACTAATTACAACTAGCATCAAGCGTACAGTCAAATTTGTGGAGAAATCCTGTTTCGTTCCTTAAATAGAGGGATGACATCACTTGTGAGCTCTTCACGTGTGAAGGGAATGCATATAAATTACAATGTGTGTCTATTGCCGGTTGGCTTATTCATGGTAATCAACGTCATTGTGCATGAAGGTGAAGCATGCACTCGGCTCTTGTACCTCCCGTCGTCGTGTCTGCGTATGGTGTACTGTATAGGCATTTAACAATGTGTTATTTTATTATTCGCTTCCAAGCAGCACTAAGCCTGTAGATTTCTCTCAATTTCAATAGATTCTCTAATTAGTCTTGGCCAGTAGTAACTAGTTTTGCACAGAACTTCAACATCAAATTCAATCGAGCGTTCTTGTTGGCACGTGTGTTCTGCCACTGCTGACAGTTGTATTTGGGAGTATTTAATATTCCTTTGGTGTTCTTTTAGTCTCATGCCCGTCATTCGTTCTGTCTGCCCAAAATAGCATTTCCCACAAGTGCAATAAATCCGGTACACACCTTCTGTTGATAATTTCGGCAATACATATTTAGTACCAGATATTAGTTTCTGTATTTTATGCACCGTACCAAATCTGACTCGGATGTTTTGTTTTTCCAAAAGTCTGGTTAGTTTATCAGTTACTCCCACAATGTACAGTATTTTAATAGTTTAAATTATTTGGTGAGTTTCAGCTCTCATGTTATTTGATATGGTTTTGGCATTCAGTGGCCTGTTGATTTGTGCATCATTGTAACCGTTCAATTGCAGCCGTGCTTTAGCATGTTTAATTTCACTTCAGAACTAAAGCAGCTTGCACTTGTGAAATGAGGCCGCCAGACAAAAGGTTAAAATGCCGTTAAGTACGCAAAGGAGCCGAGCGGAACTCGGCGTGTGCACAAGAAGCCCCCCAAATAAAAGTATTCGTCAGTGGAGATTTTGCATCATGAATTGTAAATCAACACCGCCGTTGGCCAAAATCACCAACATAGCTCAAATCCCATTTGTCACCGTAAACCCAAATTACAGCTGTGAAAATGTACACTGCTGGCTGGATTGAGGCGGTGCAATGGTCAGCAGCACGACGGCCTCGCGATCCAGAGGTTACCAGTTTGATTCCATTTCCTCGCCGCACGGCAGTTGACCCAATAGGAGTGATTTCCTTAAACTCCCCTCTTCCCCCACCGCCTCAATCCACCCCGCAGTGTAGATGGGTATAAAACCGCAGTTACTCATTCGGTAGGTTGCGCGGGGTGCGGTAAAGCGTGGGTGCTCTCACCTCTTCCGATATGTCTGACCAGCGTGGAAGAGTTGGCCAAAACATCTTCGACAGGGGCTCTCTGGAGCTCCATCTAGGCCTGCACCTTTAGCTTTATACAGCAAGAGCTCTGTTATCGAGCACTTTACCGTCCAGAATGCTCTATTAACCGGCATCTATCATAGACGGAAACTTTCAGATGACCGGCATATTTCATGCACCGGCACCTTCTATTCCCAATGGATGCCTGATAAGGTCGCACTCATTACACGCAGACTGCTTGCCACAAATGAACCTCAATACCTTCCCGATGTCGTCAAGGAGCATAAACCAACATGCAAACTCCCGTCATCCTCGCAGCGTTTTTTTGGCTAACCATCGAACAAAGATGGTCACTGCATTATGTGCTTTCCGATGCGCTTCTGCGGCCGTCTAAAACGCTTTTCAATCCAATATTAGGAAGCCACTGGTGCTATGCACTTTTAAATATAAGTTGAAAACTAATTTATTTATAACTGATTTTTGAGTTTAGTTTTTTGTCGTTCCCCCCGCACCTCTAATTAGCTCACTTAGCTATGTACGGTGCAAAAGAAGTTTAAAATACATACATACGTTGAACATATACGTTGAACTCCTTTAAAAGCGTCCATAGCCAACCATGCTGATTGGAGGTGCCGGGGGAAGGACAACAAACTGAATGCAACCAAAGACATTCATACATGGCAGAGCTTTAGCTTTGAACGTAGAACACAAAACTGCCATCCCTTTAATGCTCCCAACCCGAGCCTCGTCGCTCACCTATTTTTTGCCATACCATTGGCACGAAAATGGTGATGGCGAATCGCTCGGCACTCTGGTCATGCGCCGCGCACACCGCGCATGCCGCACACACCGCACCTTGAAATGTTCGGTTCCACATGTATCGCTTGAGCACCACTCCGTCTTTCACCAGCCTTCCTGCGGTGAGGGTGTCATTAAGAGCCAACGCGTAGAGCAGAATCCCATCGTAGAAGCCAGCAGGAATGATGTTTTTCTGAAACGGTAAATATAGAAATCAAAGGAGTGTGCGCTTTGGCAGAAATGGGCGAGACCCGAAATAGAGGCATAGTCGATTTAAAAACAGACGGGTTTATTTTTTTTGCATAATTTTACACAAAAATACATGCACGTAAAGATACCTGAAATAAACATGCCAAGATATGGTTTCCTAGGATGAATATGTACAATGTTACTTTACCATTTATGAAACGGCCAGTGAGTTTCGTGAGTTTATAATGGCCGGCGATATTAGTCTTCGCGTTGGATTAAGCAATCAAGTCGAGTCGCAGTGTTTACGCCCCGGGAGCTTGTATTAACCGAGGCACGTGAGTAAAATAGGCTGTCGAGTCCTCTAAACTCAGAGCGAGAAAAGGCATGCGCCGTCTCTCCTTGAAAACTAATTTCTTTAAAACTGCTTTTTGTGTTTAGTTTGTCGTCCTTGTCAAAATGGCGAGAGAACCCGTGAAAAGACAGCTGCCATCACTGGCCAGAGAGTCACGCTTACCAGCGAGTCGCTAGCTGTGAAGTTATACTGCTCCGGTGCTCGCCTCTTCAGCTCCTCGATGAATGTCCTGTACTCAGCGCCCTCTGGTTGCTTGTAGGTGATGATTAGAACGGACTGCAGATGCACGACAGAGGGAGGGGGGTAACAATGTCTACGATTCGTCAATCGATATATCGATTTTCTCGAGCGCAAGATCAAATGTGATGTGGACTTCATGGCGCAGCCCTGCAATTTCTCGCTCAGGCCAATGCCAGCAGAAGGGGTCTCCACTCGTGGGAGTTCCATCTATTGAGTGTTAATGGTTTACTCTGCATCGCCAGCCAGTACGTCCTTGAAGAAAAGCTCAACTATAAAAAAATGTATTCTATCAGGCAAGGTCCACTGAGCAATATAGCTCTTTGTCAGAAGCGACATGGCCACAAATGATAGCTCAACAAAGTTGCTTATCACATGCAGCCAAATGCTCAAAATGTATGTTGATTCTAAATGCGGAGGGAAAAACCGGAGGAGACAGAGAACAATCCACGCGACCACTGGGAGGTGTTAGGGTCGGGATCGAGCCCACAACTTCCTGCATACCAGATGAGGGAGTGAACGTTTCGCCACCGCGGCGACAACTGACGGAGGTGGGAGACCACAACTTGACCCCACCACGACCACACGTGACCTGCCGACTGTGTGATTCTCGCACGGGGAATTCGGGAGCCCTCATCTCTGGCCACGATGACGGTTGCACTATCCTAAGCTCGGCCAGACTTGCAACAGCGTCTAACCTCTCTGGCGGCCTTGCTGCAAATTTATAGATTTATATTCCACCCGATTATTACTATTTTTTCTACGATCAAAGTGCAAAGTGAGCACTCATGGCCGAGCCCTCTCTCAGGCCCAGTTGAAATGTTTTTAAATTGTATGATTACATCATGAGCTTAATTCACAGATTCGCGGATACTGTTTTGTTCTTGTTACATTGGACTTATTCTATGGAGTCACAACACAAAAACTGCCTAAATATTTGGAGTGGCCACTGTGCCCCCCCATTGAACTGTATCCACCCAGCAGCAGTCAAAACGGGTTCTCCACAGTTCATCGGTAGGACGTGTGGTGGGGTAAAGCGTGAGTATTTACTCCTCTTCCAAGACGTCTGACCAACGAGGAATAGGCCAAAAACAATTTTTAAAAATACCCTTCGGGTGGGCCTCTATAGTGCTCCCTCTCGTTGAGGCCCTTCCGCCAACAATTTAAACTGAAACTAAACAATTTATATTTTTCCAGTTACGGTCCATTGAGCTATATAGCTTTTTCAGAAGCGAAAAGCCACAAATAATAGCTCAACGAAATGGCCTATCATCATGAGGAAAATTATAGCAGCCAAATACTTTATATGCATTTTGATTCTAAATGTGGAGGGAAACCCGCAGGACCTGGAGAAAAAATCCATGCTACCACGGGGAGAACATGCAAACTCCAAATATACAGGTGTCAGGGTCGGGATCAATCCCACGACCTCCTGTATACCAGGCGATGTAGTTAACATGTCGCCACCGCGGTGCCCTTGGAGAGAGAAGGCCATTGCAGAGCTGATTTCTCAAACCTTCAATGCGCCCCCCGGTTGAAAGGAGATGGGAAATTCACGCTCGTAATCCAAAAAGCGGTTCATCCCTTCTGATTCCCTGCTGATAATGGACTCTCCGAACAAAAAGCACGACCACCCTGCAATTTTAATCCCCAGCAGCTGCAAAATTCCTCGCTGAGTCCAGACTAAGCTATACATACTCTATTACGGTATTATTATTACCGTGTTATTAATACACAACCGCGGAGATGTTCGCGGTTGTGCTGCAGAGCTTCCCGATGCATTTTAGGGTTGTAGCGCGTGTTATTGATGTCCACCGTTTCACTCCACGTGGTTGTAAATTCTTCTTCAGCAACTGGATCGAGCAGTTACACCCTCTTCCTCGTAGGACTTATGATTTGGCGACGGTCCTATTGCTGCTGCTGTGTTGGCAATGCTGCACAAGCACACTTAACAACAATGCTCAACACATTAATCAATCTTGACTTAAGGCTTTCGTGACTGCTTGTGTTGTGATCGAAACGTCGTATTTATTTATTTATTTATTTATTTTTGTTGAACCTATCTACGTGACTTTACCGAAAGACCCAAAGAATATGACATTCGTCAATTATAACCCTGTGGCCTGAAAAGAAAAAATATAATCTGGTGACATTTTGGGCTATGGCCCTTATTCATGGCAAATAAACAGAGAGGCCAGAGAGATGGAGTGAATAATAAGTCTTTGAACACCGCACTTAGCACCTTGTGGCCTAATGAGAATTTGTTTTGTTTTCCGACGACCCGTTTTAAATGGGCATACAGAAGCTCTATGCATCTTCCTCGATCGTACAGCGGTCAACTCAGGTGGGGGCCCCAGGACCGGGTTCAGATACCACCATAGTGGATTCAACTGAATCGCAGACGTACTCTTTGGAGGCAACACATTTATTGACACCAACACATTAACACAAAGGGGTTACTGCCCCTTTTTCAGATAACCTATGGTGGTGGGCCACCAGGCTAACTATGCTAGTTACTGGGAGTAGCTACAACGGACAGGACCCTGACTTGGGTCCTCGTCCACGTGTTAGTGACTTCTTCTTGGATGTAGAACGTAGATCGTAGATCTTCAAATGACGGCAGCAACGCAGAGCCCCGGTCCCTGTGGGGACCCAGTTTATATGCTCCGGGACGTGGCTGGCCCTGCCCTTGGCCACGACCACCTTCGAGAAACCTCTTGTCGTTTCTGGACCCTTCCCGTAAGATCTCACCCTGACACGTGACCACCCCCTAGCCCCCACCTGGGGCCCCTGTGTAGATCTTACCGGTCACGTGCCTTCCAGGGTCAACCAGAGTGCCATGGCCTAGGGTAACCTCATCCCATGGCTGACACTCTCACACTCCCTCCTGTAGGAATCAGCACTGCACGCCACGCGTGGTGCCACTGCGCTATCCCAGCGCTCACCGAGCCCCCTCTGGGGCTGGTACTACACCCACCTACGGGGTGTCCGCGATGGCGATGCATCGCACGCCGTGTCTCGCTAGAGCCACATTACACAGCGACATTCACGATGTCGCTACATACGTGATGTCCGCGATGCGAGTACATTGCACGCCGTGCCCCTCTAGGGCCAGCACCACACAGTGACATCCGCACAATGCGCCAGGATAGCTGCGTCACCACTCTCCCAAGAGTTGAATCACTCGAATAACGTTGGTATCAAAATGTGTTTGGTTCTTTGTGTGCATAAACAATCGATTTGCCGGAAAATGAATTCCAAAGAATAGCAATAGTCACCCCCTACTGGCAGACTGATAGCCGCTTGCAGGCCACGTGCTGAGTCACATTGTGTCACGCAGGGGCAGCTGCTACTTGGGGTCCCCTCGGCTAGATCACATTGCAATTATCGTCCCCTACTGGCAGACTGATCCCAGTTTGCAGGCCAGGTGCTACCAAGTCACCTTGCCCCACACAGAGACAGCTGCCACTGAGGGTGCCGATTCGAACGTTTACGATTGTGATGTACGACGCTTTGGGTTGCTGCAGCACCGAAGCAAACGCCATGCAAATGTAATTTATTTTTTTGTAAAAGTGATCTATCATCTAGCACCTCATTCGATGCCCACAGGGGAAGTTATTCTTTTTCACAACATCTCCGTGTGATCCACACGAAACCCTCCACATCGCTGGCAAGAGGGTGCATTGCAGGAGGCAAAGAGAGCGCTGCGGAGGGCCCAGAGGGTCCCCAAGGGTCCCCAAGGGTCTCCGCCGCAGAGAGAAGCGATGGCGTGCACCTGGTAGGCCTTTTTGGCGACGGGGTCGTTGGCGTCGCCGCGGTGCCAGGGGGGTCGTGGCATGCCCTGGGCCCCCACCAGGCTCTCGCCATAGAGGTCCACGTAGATGAAGGCGTAGTCGTCGAGGGAGAGGCCCACGTAGAGCGCATGGATCATCAGGCGCCGGAAGTCGTCCGCCCTGCAGGAGAAGTAGATCACTGCAACGACACGACGGGGGGCCTGCGTGAAACAACTGTTCGTAGCAGCAGCTGGCACGGAATAACGTTGGGAATTGAGCTCACTTTGGTATTCGCGCCATTCCTATTGCTGTCGCAAAAGTAGGACTTGCCTTTCACAGATGCAGTCTTTGGCAGTTTCGCAGGAAAGTGCCGTTGTTGTTTTTTTAGCTGGGCGTTGGTGGCTATGCAAGTGGCCTTTAATCCGGCACTGTGAGGGTGAGGATTTGTGTGGATTGCACACAGACGTTGTGAAACTCCGAGCACCCTATGAAGGCACGGGCACACGAGGGGGTGGGTGGCCAGCACCACACCTGGCCGCCTTTGTCGCCCGAGTGGCGATGTTCACACACTGCACCGGGTACTCAGTCGACCTAGGGGAGGTCCAGGACCGATGCAGACAATTTTCACTCGTGTTGGCTGTGAGCGAGAATGGAATCCGGGTCGCCGGGTTCGTAGCGCAGCGCGGTAACCGTGACACTACCGTGGCCGTTCTCATTGCACACGTACAGACTTCTGATTTTCTTTGTTGTGCATATTTCTCTACGGGGCATTAAGGAGATGTATGCAGCCAAGGTGCCCCCCTCCCCCCCCATGAACAATAGACGTGTGCGTCGTAAGTGGAGCTCTTAGCGCGTGCTTTGTGTACGCGCATAACAGTCTGCACAGAGTGTTTTAGCATCTGTACAGCTCTCGTAAGTATTGTGCTCACGACTCGTAAGGTGCCAGTGAGTACCGTATGTGCAATACATACCGTGTAAGAGTACACGCACATCCCTTCTCCCAGTGTGTATCCCGCTGAATGATCAGGGCTTCCCTCAATGCCACGTGGGTCATGGGGGTCATTTTAACATATTTCACCGTGCTGGTCAGTGCGAGTTGGAGACGGGCATTGAGCATATAAACGTGGCGCCATATAAGCACACTACAACAACAGAATTCATACTCTTTGGTTCTTTCGGTAAAGTCACGTAGAAAAATAATAATAGATCACGACGTTTCGATCGCCACACAAGCAATCGTCCTCAGAAGGAAGAACCAAAGAGTATGAATTCCGTTGTTGTAGTGTGCTTCTATGGCACCACGTTGATGTGCTCAATGTCCGTCTCCTCAGGAGGACGATCGCTTGTATGGCGATCGAAACGTCGATATCTATTATTATTTTTCTGCGTGACTTTACCGAAAGAACCAAATAGTATGGATTCCTGCAGTCACGAAAGCTTCAAATCAAGAACGGAATTTACCACACCGCCCAATGCTGCCCATCGCTTAGCCCAATTGCCCTATGACCAAATCCTTTGGAATGAATTTGTTACAGGCAATTGGGCTGGGTGCATATTGCAGATTTAGATATAGGGAGCTCAGCATGGATGACTCAAAATCCCGGGCAACAGGTTGTTGTTATAGGCAGCAGCTCTACTTGGACATTCTTATGAAAATAATAAATTGATGATTCAAGGCAGAGTGATTTCCCTGCTGCTCAAATATGCATTGAGGCATTGGTGCTTATCTCCAATTTACAGCCCTGCAGACGCCGGTGGTGGAAATTCCACATTAATATGACTGGGGTGAGTCTTCCCATAGTTGATTTATGAAGATGTATACTTTATGGGGCGGGGAGTATCAGACTGATCTGATTAAATTAAGAGGAAACAAAGAATAGGAAGGACTGCTTTTGAAAAAGTTACTTTCATCACGAAATAGAATTTTAACTGAAGAACACGTTTTCAACCAGTGCGCATTGCCAGCCGTGCAGGACGATTCAGAAACGCTCGCAAAGAAGGAAGTCAAACACAATTAGAAAATTATACAAGCACGCGCGGAGAGATGCACGCTTGGAAGTTGACTGACAGAAGTTCAAGTTTACTTTGTTTAACTAGGTGAAAACATTGGAGACCAGGATAGTCTCATTTGCCAGAATAACCTGGGACATTAATCTGGCAGTAGGAGGTAATGATTGCTGCTATGTGTGCATTATCCCATTTTAGTGATTTTAGAATTTGACTTCGGCAGACCCGGGCCTACTCTTGCGATTATTTGATCTTACACTGTGAAGCAGATGGCGTGTAGTATTATTTCCGTTATCACTCACCGAAGTATTATAAACTAAAACTGTAAAAAAAGATCGTTTGTATTTTATCAGGCAAGGTCCACTGAGCTATGTAGCTCTTTTTCAGAAGCGACCTGGCCACAGATGATATCTCAATGAAGTGGATTATAGTGTGGAAATGTATAGCAGCCAAATACTTTAAACGTGTGATGTTGATTCTTAAATGTTAATCGGTGCGGCTGCTGAATTCGAACCGTGAACCTCTGAATCTGATTTTCGTAGATGTACAGTAGGGGCCGGTCAGAAAGCTACAACAACAAACAATACAAAAACAAGATCGCAGTGCAAAGTATAGGAAAGGTAAGAAAATCACCAAAAAATTACCTGAACAATTTTTTCACACCGACTTTCACGACCAATATGAAAATATTCAAAAACCTTTCTTTTAATATTTTTTTTTACCAGGTAAAGCCCACTGAGCGATAAGCTTCTTTTTCGTAAACGACCTGGCCACAAATGATAGCTAAACGAAGTAGCTTATGATCATGTGAAAATGTATGGATTGTGGAATCACAACACTGCAGTTTTAGTGTCGGCCTTCAACCTTCAGCAGAGGATAGACAATGGCTGCCAATGACGCTTGATGGCGGTGTCTATTGAAAGGCCTGCATGCATTGCGGACAATGGCGTACTGTGAGGGTGTGATCAACATCGTGATGAAACGAGCGGAACGCATCACTTTGGCGACTCGCCCCCGGCGGCAATGGAGTTATAGGCACGACTTTGCCAACACTCTGATTACAAGGAGATGCTCGCTAATGCGGGAGTTGGCACCAACCTTCTCAACAAATTTCAAATGGACTAATCATCGCGTCACGGAGCCAAGGATGGAAACAGCTGCTGCATTTAAAGGCCGATTTGCAAGTCCCCGTTGACCAAACATTGACAGGTAAAGGTGCATTACTGCAATTTCTTGCTCATGCCACTGCTGGCAGAAGAGGCCTTCCACTAGACAGAGCGCCTCTCGAGTGGGCATTTTTTCACTGCTCGTCCACGCTGGCCAGACCTTCTTTAAAGAGGTGAGAATACCCACAGTTTACCCCACCACACGCGCGACTTGGTGATTGACTAACTGTGGTGAACCCATCAATTCCGCCGAGGTGGACAAAAGTCAGCAGGAAGAGTTTCAGGCACAGCAATTCCCCGACTTACGTGTCCTCCTTTTACGTCGTGTCACAAATACGTCGTCACTTTAGCAGCCCCCCCCCCCAGTGGCGTAGCCAGGATCATTTGCGCCCGGGGACGAACTATAAAATTGGCGCCCCCCCCGTTTAATCACATACCAAAATGTAATTACATGACATGTCGGCTGTGTGTGGCGGGATATATAAACTTTTAGGTTGAGGTGTAGATTTGTGCAGTAGTTTCAGGCTGCCGCGCCCGCCGCAATAAGTTATAATGTAACGTTGTAAGCCTCATTTTGGCGCCCCTTTACCTTGGCGCCCGGGGACACGTGTACCCCCCTGCCCCCCCTAGCTACTGCCTCTGGCACCGCCCCCTGATTAGCGTCGCCTCAGCCCCACACTTACGTCGCTCACGGCACCGTCCGTCCTTTCTCGCCTCCGCCACCACCTGCCCTGCACACGAACGACTTTGCGTCGCGCGTAAAAAAATTACTGTATTGCAGAGTACAATACATGATTTATGTATTTTGGCTATTCATAGTGTACTTTATCTTGTTGTACCCTGTATAATTTGTGTTTAAGTTTACTGCAGTGCACTAGTAATTTAATAAATGTACGTATGTATGTTGAACTTCTTTCGCGGGACAAGGACAACAAACTGAACATTAAAAGCAGTTCTAAAGAAACGAGTTTTCAATCTAGATTTAAAATTGCTTAATGTCACGTTGTGGGTACACGTAGGATGAAGATGCGCGCGTTCACATCGCTTTCACCATACCCTCCGTTGTGTTTGTTTGACTCGTGTGGAAACATCGCTTTGATTTACGTCGTCTCGATATTCGTCATCGCACCTTTCAGGAACGCATCCCCGACCTAAATCATTCCAGAAAACCAATCGCCACCCCCCATTGTTTAGAATGCCGCGCGGGGAGATGGAATGGGATTGCAAGCCAGTGCCAGCGTGCCTACCATTACGACAAGCAGCACTGCAAACATTGATGCACGGCGTTAAATGAGGCATACAAGGAACAATCGTGCGTGCGCTCTCCAAAAATGTGCCCTCGTCTCCACACCGAGTGTGCGAATGAGACTAAACAGCGAGCATGGTTGAGCAGCGTTCATCGCCTTCACCAAGGGGCACAACTGGACTGGTACACTGAAGTTAAAACGGAAACAAAACACGTCGGGCCAAGAGTTTCATTTTTTTCTTTGCACTTATTCGGGTAAAAAACACACGGCCAGAAATGCGCATTTGCGGACCTCAGCGATCCAGCTGGTGGCTTGCACGCGTTTATTTTCTGGACGGACTATTTATTTATTAAACTAAAACCCATCAGTCATCATTGGGGTTGTGTTGGGTTATGAAACCATGACGTCGTTGATTACAACACCGCCGCGTAACCCCAGCCCTACCCCCACCCAAAAACAAACACATCTCCGATTAATGCCTCTATTTGGTGATGCATTCAATAACCCAAGACCATACGAATGTCATAATTAGATGGAATCACAAAGGTATCGTAGTAGTTTATCGCGCCCTTTCTCGATCCACTGCTGGATGAAGGCCTCCCCGCGGCCGCGTGTTCATCTCGAGAGTGGTTTGACGAGAGACGCCGCCGTGCAGCCAGTCGGTGCGGGTCGGCGCACGGGTCGTGGAGCACCAGCACCGTGTCAGATATCGGGTCGGCGCACGGGTCGTGGTGCACCAGCAGCACCGTGTCAGATATCGGGTCGGCGCACGGGTCGTG